CATATTCAAGATGGATAGAGATCGATAGAATCAAAGATACCACAAGTAAAAATTTAATAAATAGATTATAAAAATAGCTTACACGATATGGTGTTCCACGTCAAATTGTTACAGACAATGGTCCACAATTCATTTCAAATGAATTTTACAAATGGTGCAAAAATAAGAATATACAACACATCAAAACTACACCATACCTCCGAGATGTAACGGATTAGTTGAAAGATGCATACAAACTATAAAAAATCGGTATTTTGCTAATAGAGAACAAACAAATGATGGGGAAAAATGCCTTAATGAAGTATTAGTTACATATAGAAATTCCGAACATTCCTCGACGGGCCGAATACCTGCCAAACTATTTATGGGGAGAAGACTAAATACTTTATTAGACTGGGTGAAACCATCAATTACTGAAAAATTAGAAACCTCTATAGTAAAACACGACCAGTTAAACAAAGGCATACATAGAGATTTTGGAGAAAACGAATTAGTTTGGATAAAAAGTCCACTTGAAAAGGATGGCATGAAGGAAAAATCATAAATCAACAAGCAAAATTCTCGTATAACGTAGAAGAAAAAGATAAAATAGTATGAAAACACGCAGATCAACTACTAATAAGGGAAGAAATAGACGAAACCAAATCAATAATACCAATTGAACCAAGTCAAAAAGGAAGGCAACCGCGTCGAAAGCCAACAAAAAGATTAATAGATGAACTTGAACTTGGTAATAAAAAGATTGATAGAGGATCTTAACTTGGTGGGAAAGAAGATATGTTATATTTGAATGTTTATATATATTTTAAAAGGTTACGCTATTTTAATTATATATTATTATAACTTTCTTACATTTAATATTATCTTATGGAGGTCAATGTAATTGCATATTAGTAGAAGTTAAATGACATAATTATAAAAGACTATATATAGGAAACAATTTTATAATAAAGAATCTATTGTTTTGACTATAAAAATATTCTATTAAAATGTTCAAATAATACTCTAATACATTTTAAATGAAGCAGATATTTTTTATTAAGACAATTTTAGAATATTTACAATTAAAATTTGATTTTAATTACTCTATTTACAAATGTATAAATATTATGACCTTGGAACAGAAACCGTCAATTGATGGTTTTTGTAATTTAATAAATATATTAAAAATACCAAAAGACATTGATGTCTTGTTTGAGGATATTGTAATTCTCTCTATTTTTTATGATTCGCCAGAATACTAAAGTTAGATGGTCTAAAAGCAGAGAAGAAATGGGTAGAATTTTTTCGTAATAATAATAAATCCCCATGCTTGGAAAAAATTTGCGAGTATGTCTTTTCCTTACCTCATTCTAATGCCTCATCCAAGCGCATTTATAGCCTAATGAGGACTGCCTGGAAAAAGGAGAGAAATCGGATTGCTTTAACAACATTAGAGGCCGAGTTAATGGATAAACAAATTTATAATATGTCATGCCAGGAATTTTATAAATATCTCAACAAAGACGATAAACGTTTAATACCATTATTTAAATCTTAAATAAAATATAATTAACATTATTTTTAGTTTTCCATATTTTTTTATTTATACATTCGTATAAAATAAAATATTCTTGGTACACTCTCCTGCACTTATTAAAATAATGTGATTGAACAATAATAAATAAAATAATTATAATTGAAAAGAGTACAATATTACCTTATTATGTATTTGTGATACGTAAAAATTAAGTGCCTATCCCTATAATGTTATACACACACACAAGGTAGATTTCCAATTGCAGATGTTTTGCGGGACATTCGCATATAATATATTTTTTACATTGTAAAATTAAAATCGTTAGTTTTTTTATAAAATTTATTTTGTATTTTGAAAAATAGTTAACGAATTTGTATTTATATAAACTAATTATAAAAAATAATAGGCGGATTATTATGTCAATTCAAAATCCGGGCTTCGGCCAGGATTTTGCGATATTTTAGCAAATTTTTTATTTCTACCGCATTTTTCATATTTCTCCTGCAAAATACCAAATTTCTCTTGCAATTTAAAAATTTTGACCTAGCAACCCTGTCCCCATGCCCCCCCCATTTTGTGGGCCTTCGTCCCGCTTTAGCCCGGCCTTCGTCCGGGTTTTATATGAATATATTATACTTTATAAAATTTGTTAACTCTGAACAATTATTCTTTTCATATTTTGTCATTTATTATATTATGCATATAAAATAAACTGGCATATAAATACTTAAAACAATACAAGACATTTCTAAAAATAATATTTTTTAATACAAAATCTATTTAAAATATTTTCGATTGCTGATATAAAAAAATTTTGCGTCTAAAGAATTACAAGTCATAAAAAAGATTTATTAATTCATACACATGCCTCATCAATTTATAATAGTTTTTAATAATCATATTATGCAATAATATTCATAGCAACTTACATTGACAAGGTTATTAAACTAATATAACTCTCTGTTACCATTTTAGACAATGTTTTATAGAATGGACTAATAAGGAAAAATTTATAGGCCTAAACCAAATCAACAATTCTTAAAGAAGAGAATATAAACGACCAATCCAAATCATAAAACTATATGGTGGTTGGTTAGAGCTTCTTTTTAGATGGCATGATGAAAGCTAGATAAGTAATCGAGAAAATTATTGTTAGATATTAAATTTCTAAAAGATTATCTTCCATTTTAAATGATATATAAACGATTACACATTGACCATTATTGTTTGTATAAAATATGCTCTCAGCAGCCTTAGCAATAATCTCAAATTACATAGCAACACAAATAATAGATGCTGGTTAATTTGCAGTAATAGCCCATGGCACTCACGATGTAAACGAATATCAGAATTTATTATGTTGGATAAATTGATAAAATTTAAACACTAAAAATATTTGGAAGAAACAATTATGCAAATATATTGACGCATAGAGTTATTTACAAGGCAAGGATGTCATATTTTTATCAATTTATCTAACATAATATATTCTGATATTAGTTTACATCGTGAGTGTCATGGCTATTAGTGCAAATTAACCAGCATCTATTATTTGTGTTGCTATGTAATTTAAGATTATTACTATAACGGCTAATTGCATATTTTAGATAAACAATAATGGTCAACTGTGTGGTCGTTTATATATCATTTAAAATGGAAGAATCTTTTAGAAATTTAATATCTCACCCAATATATATATCATTGATCTCACCATAATTTTCTTGATTACTTTTCTAGCTTCCATAATGTCATCTAAGAGGAAGCTCTAACCACCATATAGTTTTATGATTTGGATTGGTCGTTTATACTCTCTACTACAAAAATTGTTGATTTGATTTAGGCCTATAAATTTTTCCTTATTAGTCCATTCTATAAAACATTGTCTAAAATGGTTACAGAGAATTATATTACTTTGATAACCTTTTGTCAATGTAAGTTGCTAAGAACTATATTATTGCATTATGTGATTTTTTATATGCCAGTTTATTTATGCATAATATAATAAATGACAAAATATGAAAATCAGAATAATTGTTCAGAGTTAACAAATTTTAAAAAGTATAATATATTAATATAAAACCCGGCCGAAGGCCCCCAAATTGGGGAGTATGGGAGGCGAAGCCCCCCATGTGAATTTTTTTAGTCGAGCCCCCTGAGATTTGAAGGCTAGCGACGCCTCTGCAAGCTGACATAGTGTGAATATAATTTATAAGATTAATCTAATCTAATATGTAAAATAGTATTCATTCAATAAATATTTAGACAGTCTTATTAATTTTAAAAAAAATTAAATCTATATATTACTTAATAAAATTATAAAAGAAATCGTTCAGGGGGCAATCAAAAATATTTATTTTTAGTTCAAGGGGTTAAGATTCCATTAAAAAAAAATTTTTTGCTTAGGGGGCTATTCAAATTTTTCAGGGGGCTCGAGCCGCTGCGCACCCCCTAGTGTCGCCACTGATTGAAGTATCCTAAATACCTAAAATATGTCCATTGTACCTAATATTTTTATAAATTTTATATACCAAATTATTCTAGAAGCAAGGGATATTGAATATTACATTTCTGTTATAAATCTTTAGCATTATAGAATACTATAAGATCAAAATTAGATCAAAATTAGTCAAGTAATCATTGGTCTAGTATTATTAAATGTTTTATTATCAGTTCATTTAATGCATATTAAAATAATTTTAATGTAAGTCTTAAATTTTTATTTATAAATACTTGGAATTAACGATGAACTTAGTTTATTAACTTTTTATATCATTCAAACTTAAAAAATTATTATAGTTGACTAAAAAATGTCTATGGCACTTACCTTATCTTAAACAAATAATCTCTAAAGCGTTAGTTAAAAATTTAATAATTAACACCCCAATAAATTTATACTATCTCTGGACTAACCCCCTGTCATACTCACCTTAAACGCCTACCTCCTACCCTACCCCTTTTAAAATTCGAAGAAAACTCTACACCCTCCCCCCTCGCTCATGTAGACGCTGTCGTTAATAATAGCAGAAGCAAAAAGATCCATAACTACAGAAATCTTAATAACTTCCAATTTACTTCAATGGTGACTTCCATAAACAGCCATTTTTTGCCATTAATTTATAAGTTTTTAAAAAATATTAGCACCAAATATTGACATTTTACAAATGATGCTCAAGAATTTTTATATAAACGTCAATAAATTCAAATAGAAGTTTTAAATATAATTATGATTGCTTTTTAGGAACACAATTATGAATTTTTTTTATTTTAATACTTTATTTTTATACTCTTTTAATATTATAGTGCTTAATTATGATAGAAATTTAATATAAATATTTATTATATAAAAAAAATTATTTGACATCCTTTTCCAATAACGGATAATGTCATTATCCTTTTCAGATTAATTATTAAAAATTAATTGATGTTTATCGTTTCAATAATATTGGCGGCCATGTTTTAAAATTCAAATTTGAAGGGATTTTCTGCCAATCGGTGATCAATCTTTAAAATAATTTAAATTTTTTACCATGATATCAAACAAAAAAAGAAAAATAAAGATTGAACCAAAATCTATTAAAAAATTACAAACTCAGGATATAACATCATTTTTTAATAATTCAAGTACTGTCAATGAAAAATGGATTATAAAAGATTCATTATTAATCTATCAAACAGACCATATGCCTCCATCTGACAAGGTGGCCTGCTTTGACCTGGATGGCACAGTAATAACCACAAAATCTGGGAAAGTGTTTCCTAAGGATGAACATGATTGGAAAATTAATAGTTTAGATGCTACTAACACTGATAAATTTATATCAAAATTGAATATATTATATGAAGAAGGCTATAAAATTGTTATTTTTACTAACCAAGTTAGATAATTGTCTATATATTTATTTTAAGGATTATATAGAAAGGATTGCTGATGAATAAAAAAGGAATTTCTGTAGATTCATTTAAAAGGAAAATTGAATCCATTCTAAAGCATATATTTAAAGAAAATCCTTGCATAGTTTTTGTATCCCTGTCAAATGATTATTATAGAAAACCTCTTATTGGTATGTGGAATTATTTACAAAATAATTGTAATGATAATGTAACCATTGATCGATCAAAATCATTTTATGTTGGAGGTAATTAACATTGAAAAAATTAGTACCTTTAATTTTTTATTTATCTAAATTTTCCATGGTATAAAATTATACAAAATATATTGATTGATATTAATTATCTATATATTTCTGCTTATATATTGTATATTATTGTTTTCAATAAAGATGCAGCAGGAAGAGACTCTTACACTTTCATGCATCAAACAGTAAAAAAAGATTTTTCTTGTTGTGATAGACTTTTTGCTATTAACATAGGATTAGAAAATTTTTACACTCCAGAAGAATATTTCCATGAACAAAGTCATAATGTCCCATATCACTTACCTTCATTTAATCCTAAAGCATTTCTATCCACTTTTGATAAAACTTTAGATCAAAACACGCTTTTACTTTCTCCTCCTGATGCTCAATTAGTTTCAACTAACAAAGAAGTTTTATTAATTTTTTAAAAAAGTGATTAAATTTATGAAAATGACTATATAGTATATTAGCATAATGCCATGACTTTCTGGGGAGGGGTAACCACCCCTATAAATTTTAAAGGCCTTAAGTGTGATATTTGCAGCCTCTGATTTACATTTTTTGAAATAATTTTGTCTTTTAAATGCTTCTTTTTTTTCTTAAATAATCATGATTTAAATTATTAACTACTTTTTTAAAATTGTTCATAGTGTGTATTCATTTTGTGTAGGCAGGTGGGTGTTGTGTAAGGGGGTGATTTTTATTAGCTTAAAATGATATTTACAAAAACTTGCTAATTTACCAGAGGGATTTCCCTGTCCTTCTTGTCTACAACTGTGCCACATAATAAATCTTAACTAGATCTTTTTTCACATATTTTTGAGCTGGACTGGGTAAATTGTGCAAATATTTTTAAAAGTTAGGTCAAAGTTCTTTAAATGTTTTTTAATTACAAATTTTATTTTGCTTTCCCTCATACAAAACTATTATGGTCCAGGCAACCTATACAAGATATATTTAATGGGCCTGACCAAATGATTAGACACTTCTATGGGCCACTTTTGACTGTAGTCAATATATTAAAATATATTAAATATGACTTTATTTAGATTTTAAAAATTTATTTATTTATAAAAATCCATTTTTTTCAAAAAAAAATTAGATGGTAATGATGGTAGGATTCCCTGCTTCAGGAAAAAGCTTCTTTGTTCAAAAATATTTTGAATGTCAAAATGAAAAGTCTCATAAATATATTAGAGTCAATATGGATACACTTAAATCAAAAGCAAAGTGTGAAAAGTTTTGCAAGGAAATATTGTCAACTAACAAAATTTTTGGTAAGGTACTTATTAGAGGTCTGCATTGGGCAGGTTCTTGGACCAAAAGCCCGCCCATTCCTATGTTTTAAAAAAATTTAACCTGCCCGCCTCCCACCCATAGTTTTTTAAAAAATATATACCTGCTCATTTGTCTAAAATTCCTTACCTGCCCACCCGCTTATTAGACTCCGCCCACCTGCCCATTCTTGAAAAAATTTTTGAATTTTCTTTTAATTTATATAAATTATTTTTTATTTTTTTAGATATATTTTCTTTATTCATAATAAAATTTTAAAATAAAAATTATGTTATAAAAAATAAAATTTATATATTGTAAAATAAAAATGAAAAGGGCAATTATAAAGATAAACAATTATTACTAAAATAAAATAATACAATGCAGATTGCAAACCCAAAAAAAGGAAACTTTAAGAGAAAAGTTTTATAACATTCCCATAAAAGGAAATTTTTAAAAGATCTAAATGTTTATTTATTCTAAGAAAAATGTTTATTACATAATATAGTTAGGTAAATGTTCTTCACTTAAAAAAAACGATCTGTACAATAAAAAAAGAAATATTGTTATAGATCATTTAAACAATTATTTTTTTTAGTGTTTTTGAACAAAAATTTTAAATTTCCTTAATCCGCCCGCCATTGTTTAAATTTCTTAACCCGCCCGCCCATATTTTCAAATTTTTTTTAACCCACCCACCTGCCCATTTTTGAAAAATTATTTACCGAAACCCCGCCCAATGCAGACCTCTAGTACTTATTCTCTTTAAACAAATTTTATCGCATAAAAAATAGAGTTGACCAAACTTATAAAAGATATTTTAGTTAATTGGGCCTCTTATTTCATAAAAATTTCTTTCATCACACCATGTATTATTTTAAAAATAAGATATTTTCGCGTTCTCTTTATGCCATAAAAGTAATTTCGGAACGTTCCAAAACTCGTTCCTAAAAAAATATTAATCTTATTAATATAAAATTTTTTCATTCCCCTATGATCTAGCTTAATTATTACATTTATGGACTTTTAAATTTAATTTAAAAAAAATGTTTTTACAATCTTATAATTAGAAATATAATAAGTGATATTATAAATATTATTATATCTATTAAATTAAAATTATCATACTATTAGTAACTTTCCCGGAATCGCCATACATTGTTTATTTCATATTTTGTAATAAATAAAATAAAAATATCAATAAGTTTTTGCTTAATATTAGAAAATACACACAAAAATAAACATAATTATATTGTCAAAAAATATTTTTTAAAAATGTTCTATGATTTTTTATAATGTTCAAAGATCAAACTTTTTGAAGTAAAGACATCTTTTTATGAAATTATTGTAACCCCTTAGTATGAATTGGTACATAGAACCATTTGCAACAACCTTGATGAATGCCTAGAACTGATACTAACATTTAAACCATGATTCCATTGTGACTATCTTTGTCTTAATTAAAATTTCACCCAAATTTCAGGGGTCTGTTTAAAAAGCTTTATTGATCGATTCGATAAAGATTACCAAATTATCTCATTAAAAAGGGAGAAGGAAGATTCATTCTGATTAGAGTGTCGAATTTAACTCTTAAAACCGAACCTATATAATTTGGTATTTTTATTTAACATGAACCGAACTTCTTTTTTTAAAAATTAAAAACAGTTAACCGAACCTTTATAAGCTCCAACCATTTAAATAGGTTTTTTATATATCTAAATAATATAATTTAAAAAAATGTATTTTTTTAAATATTGTTATCATTACATTTATACCTAGGCTTTATTTTTTGAGAATTTATTTTTAAAACTATCTCAGTGTTGTGCAGATTTGATAGAAAATATTCTATATTTTTAATCTCTTTGCAAATAAAAAAAATATGGATGTTTCCCATCTGGTAATGATATATGACGTTAGATCACTTGCTAAACAACAACTAAAATTTATTATAATGCAATAAACCTATATTTTTAATATATTAATGGAATAATCTGATGGGTCCGATCTATTATACCCCCCCCCCCCCCCAAGGACTGAACCACCAAGTTGGGCTTAGAAAGAAACATGACCATTGCTGGATGCTGACCCAGAATGTGTTACACGTGCTCAACCAACTAGGACACAGACGCTATTCGAAAACATCAAATTTTTTGGTATATAAGGATAAAATTACAACGCTATCTAATATTTTGATAAAACATAAAAAATCATTAACGTTTAACGCTATGCACCATTACTCCTTTCCATCTGCCAAACACTATATGTAAGTATATACTATATAATGTGCATTTTTAGACTATTATGGATTAGTTATGTAAATATTATATAAGATATTACTGATAACTTATGATAACAAAAAGTATAGCAATTATTTTTTATCTCTCTTAAAATGCACGGATGAAATAAAGAAACCTATAGTACATTTTGCCAATTTTCTTAAGATCAAAGGAAAAAACATCAATATTTATTCGCTTATTGGAAAAGAAGAATTAGAGCAACCCGAAGTTTATATATTAGCCACAATAGCCAAGTCTGTCCTACAGGTTTCGGTCGAAAGAGCATTTTCAGAATTGAAATATATTCTATCGCCACAGAACAAGAATTGGAAAATTTTATGTTATAATCATAATTATATATATAAATAAAAATTGATAATAATTTTGCGTTAATTTTAAACGCGGTTTTATTATCCATAGTATTCTCTATAAACTTGCGGAGGTACCATTTGCGTGGCCGGCCCGGATTTTTTAAAAATATATTATATTTATTTTTAATTTTTATAGTTAACTTTGGCAATTTAAAAATTCGGCCCAGCCCTGATATTTTTTTTAAAAAAATTTAGGCCCGACTCGGATATTTTAAAAAAGAAAATTTTTAGGCCCGACTTGGGTATATTTAAAAAATTAGAATACGAGTCGGACCGTGTACCCGGGCTTAAGGCCGGGCCTGCAGGACTCTGATATTTATAATAAAATAGTAGGAATGTGCTATTAATATTGGATCGGAGCTGTGTTTCGCATTTTTAATAAATATATGATCGGTTCGATATTTTTATATAAGTTTATGTTAATAATAAATTACTAAAAGGAACAAAAATTTAATTTATTCGTTATGTTTAAAAAAAATTGAATTTTAAGTATAGCCAAAAAATCGAATTTTAAGTATAGCCAAAAATTTGATATTCTTTTTTTTATATTATTTATAATAAGAAATGGATTTAAACACATTTAACGAGTCATATTTAGATAGTGTTGTAAAATGGCTAAATTTAGCCGATTTTTAAAAACGGTTAAATTTCCCAAGCTTGGAAATTTTGCCTATTGATGACAAAAAAATCTGAACATTTATTGGCGAAATTTCGAGACTTAGATAAAATATTTTCGCTAAAATCTTGATATCTGCTTTTATAAATAGGCTAAATAGAACCATTTAACAACATTATTCACCAATAAAAATTGTCAATATTTTAAATGAAATGATTAGTTTATTGAGAATAAAAAAACGACACTGATTCAAATATGGATGATAAGTAAAAATCTATTAATATAGATATCAGTTTTCTAGTCAATCTGTGAGAAAGCTATGGATCGGCACAGCCCTAAAAATGGGATAAAAAATATTTATAGCTTATATATATGGGTTATGGATCCGCAAAAAGTAGACAAAGCTTAAACGGACTTCGGCCCTAGCCTTTTTTTAAAATAAATCGGTTCGGGCTAAGCCTAATATTAAAAAAAAATCGGGCTGGGTTTAAATTTTGAATTATAGTATCACTAAATTTTGTGAAATAAAATATATTTTTTTAAATTTTAATTTGTTTGTAGAATACGTTTTACAATTAAAAATATACACAAAACTAGACGCCATATATCATCTATCTTGGGTATTTTATTAATATAATGTCTATTAAATTATATATATAAAAATACAGAAGGTAATAATAAAAAAAATTATTTATATGAATTCGGTTCGGGCAAATAATTTTTATCATTATTACGATCGGGCTGTGTTGGACAAATTTTCGAGCCAGCCCGAGCTTGAAAAATAAGCCCGATGCAGATTAATATGGGTATCATATTGTTCTGAACCTTTATTTAAAAGTTTTGCCTGAACTGAGCATAAACCTTTATAAAATCAAATTCCCTAACTTATATATTAAAAGGTTTGACATTTTGATTGTCTAAAAAAACCATGAAATTCCCCCAAAAAATGTGATTACGTTTATGTCTTATTGATTATAAGATAACTCTTACATTATATTAAGATATTATTCTTCCATTAATGAAAATTCAGCCGATTAAAAAAAATTTGTTTGACTTGTAAGGCTATGAAAAATTGTATTTCTCTTTTACACTAAACTAGTCTTGTAATAGCCGTTATCACTATAGAATTTTTGGATAAAATTTTACTGATTTATTCTTTGTTATATTTAGGTCGTAAAATAAATATATATAATAGTTTAATAAAATTTTTAATTGGTCCATTATACCCTCCAGGAAGCTAAAGAGTAAAAAGATGGCTTTTGGTTTAATTTAAAATGATATTCTTTTTAATTTATTTTTAATTAAAGCCGAAACAGAACTGACTTCCATGATAGTTGATAACACTAACCCGGACATAGCCAGTAGAAAATCTTTTATAGATATCGCCAAAAATTACAAAATTCCTGTCAGGTGTTTTTGGATAGACACTCCCTTCGAACAGTGTCTTCATAACGAAAAATACAGGCGATTATTGCAACTACCCAATTTTGCACATATAAACGAAAAGACAAACGGAAATTATGGCAATACAACTTTGGACAAACAACATTCTAGTGTTCCGGAGTTAGTTTTTAGAAAATATAGGTAGGTTAAAAAAATGTTTATATCTTTTTTAATTAGCATAAGGTCTGTAGATTGTTAATATTAGCTGACATATCGAGGTATAAGCCTATACATTCTAATTTTATAAGAATCTAAAAATTTTTATACCGTCTTGCCAAACTTGATCTATGAATAATAGAACCGTTATGAATTGTGGAAGAATCGAAAATGGGTTATTAACCGAGTTGTTAAGAGATACTTTTCAAATGGATCTAAATACAGATTTTTCTTATACTTAATATAAGATTCTATTGTTAAGGTTCAAATTTCAAAGTTGAGCTAAAAAATTTATTGAGCTGATATCGCATCTTATACAAATATATATAAATAAAATAATAATTGTTAGATTTTAATAATAAAACATTACAATTTTTATCATTAATGTACTACTGTTTATCTCTAACAAAATTTGATGAGTCAAAACTTGTATCAATATATCTAATATTAAATTATTTTATTTCTTTTCAGAGATTGTCTAGAAATATTGATCTAAAATTTATATTTTTTAAACTAATATAAATAAAATAAATTTTAATATAAAATTTATCATGTTGTAGTTATCTATTGTGCAAATAAAATATATCTGGTTTGTGTAATATAAACTCGGACATATTATTAAATGAATTTAATTCAAATATTATTTTTAATATAAAAAACGTAAAATAAAATATCAAAATGCATCTAAAAATATCAGAGTTGTTAAAGTATCTAGATATAAAGACGTGGTATCTGTATTTAGATAGATTTTTGATCAAAGTACCTGTATCTAGATATTATTTTAGATATATCTGTATCTGTTTTTAGATACTTTTTAAGATACATTTTGATATACTTTTATTTAACGCTTTTTTATATTATAAAAAAATACTTGAATGCTAAATTTATTTTATTTCATATGAGCATTTAAATATATATTTATATATTAAAAAATATTAAGACTACTATAATAAAAAATTATATATATATAAAATATTAAGACTACTATAATAAAAAATTATATATATATAAAATATTAAAAGTTTTATATAAAAAAAATATGTCAGAGTTTATCAATAAGCCAGGCAAATTTTGATATTACAATGCAACTCAAGGAATTTGCCATTTTTATTTTCAATGTAATTTTATTATAATACTAATTTAAAATTTTATTTTTTATTAATGTTAATAATGATGAAGAGGAAAAAGTAATAATCAATGAAGTATCAACAACTTCAGACATTGTTTTACCATGGCCAATTTATAGAACATATTTGGAAATAAAATCTCAAAATAAAGAAAACAAATCTCTGATAGTAAAATGTTTGCTATATCTACCAAAAAATAAGAAAATTTCAGTTATTACCTCAACTTGCAACATTGTAAAACATTTAAGGGTATAAGATACTAAATAAATGTTTACAATTATAATGTTAAATTTTAAGAGTAAAAATCAAACACTGTTAATGAAAAAAACAATTAATACATTGATTAGTTGATGAATTATCAATGTTTACAATTCATTGTAAACGAATAATTTAATATCCGATTTTTTTCAGTACACCACAGCAGCAAATATGATTGTTAATAATCATTTAAATTTTGATACTTAACAAATTTTAAATAATTTTTTCAAAAATTAATTTCGAGATTTTAGTATATTTAAAGAATATCCTGATATAAAATTGTTATTCATAAAAAATACCACAATCCCTTCAAGCGCCCTGGTAGAAAGACTTTTTAGTGTAGCCAAAAATGTCTTTACAGATAAACAAGGAAGCCTTAATGACCATAATTTTGAAAATATTTTATTACTGAAATCTAATAATTATTTATAATCATTTAATCATATATTATATTAAAATCTAAAATTATTTTTGTTATATTTTGATAAATGCGAGGGTCAATAAATTTTTTAGCTCATTTCATGCATTTTCACAATAGGATTCTAATTTAGGTTTAGCCAAAGCTTATATAAGAGTATAATAAAAATTGTATCTGTATCTAGATAACTTTTTAGACGATGTATCTGTATCTAGATCCATTTAAAAAGTATTTTTTAACAACTCTGAAAAATATATGCACTATATCTCTAAAATAGTATCTAGATGTATATATCTTTTTTATATAAGTGTATACTATAGAAACCACATTTTTGTATCTAGATATTTTAACAACTCCGTTTATTAATAAAGATTATTAACAGATCTGGAAATATACATATGAATAATTTCGAAAATAATTCATTTAAAAGAATAAACGACGAATAATTTTTTCATTATTCATATTAATAATTCGTTTTATATATATTTCGAATTATAATTTTTCGACGCTTTAAAATAGGTTTATATTTATATATTAGAACCCTGCATCTAATCTATTTCTATAAACCAAGTTTGAACAAACTTTTACTTCTCCTTTTTAAAAATTAACATACATTGAAAAAAAAAATTCTTAGAACCAAATTTCAAGAACCTACTCTGGAAGAAGGCTTTAAAGAAATTATTAAAGTTAATTTTATTCCAATTTTTCAAAATGATTCTCAAAGGACATTATACAGTCAATATTTATGAAATCGCATGTATTTTGATATACTTAACCATTTATTATAAATTATTTCAAGTACATTAAAACATATTTTTTTTATTTTTCTATTGTTATAAAAATAAGACAATTAATAGCTTATCATTAATTCAAATTTAAGACAACAATAAACGCATTTTGTTGTAATAAAATTAAAAAGGAATTTCTGCCCATTTCATAAAATGTCCAATCGAACAGGTAGGAATAAACATTACGTGGGATTTGATTTTTAGGTTTTGATCATCTATAATTTATATAAAATATAAGCATCATATAATATAATCTTATTAAAATATTCATAATAAAATATGGTTTTATTTTTGATCAGCTCTAAATAATAATACAATCATGTTTTTAAAATTGTGGGTTATTTATTCGATTTTTAACCTTTGAACGTCTCATGTTTTATTTTGACATATAATATAATTAAATATTTTAAATTTTATAAAGCCAATAGATATAATTTGACATCATAGAATATAAATACTTTCGTATTTTATTAAAATTATTAACTAATGTTTTATTTTTAAATTTGATCCAAAAAGGTTTTCATAATTTTATCTTTACCATTTTATTGAAAATGTAATATATATTTATATTATAACCAATATAGAAGGTGTTTTAGAGATTTACATAATAAATAGATATTTGTATTTTTTTTGTGTTACACTATACCTGATGATGTCAAATTCCATCATCATTTTTTTACCTGTGTAATTAAAAATGAAAATTGAAAAAAATTTTGGGCATCTATGGAGTGTATAAATGAATAATTTATAGAAATTTTTTTTTTAATTATTAAAAAGTTGGGCGCCAAAGGGTTAATTCAAAATCAGCTTAACTTTATGTTTGACGATTTAAATTGATCTCTTTTTTTTACTATAAAACTAACATTTCGATTATTTTATTCATTTAAGTTCAAGATCCTGTAATAAGATATAAAAAATATATAAATTTTAACCCGTAAAAAACACCAGGCTTCTGTGAATAAATTTCAGGTAACGTTTGTCGTATTTTTTATGAGGCAATGTTGTTGGGGGTTTGGTAGCCTTGAGCTTGCTTACTAATTTGCGGCAACTATTAAGTATAATATCGTCGTTCTTAGTGGAATAACCTTTTTGAAGACCAAATTTGGTTTTAGAACTGAATAAATCTTTTTTTATAAATTTCTCTTCCATATTATTTTTGATTTTGTGATGATCGTAATCTTTCGTTTTCGTCTTAGATTTGTTAAGTGGACGATTATTGTAGTCTCGTTTAAAGTGTTTTTCAGTGTTATGGGGAAGGTTCTTGCTGTTGCATTTTTTAGGCAATAATTTAGGAGATATATCTTTCATGTTATCACGAAAATCAGAATCTATAATATCAAATTCATTGGATGATGTTAAAGAATCATTATCGGAAGAAAATGATGAACCGTCTGATGCCTCGTTACGATATTTGAGAGAATCCATCAAGTTGCCCTGACTAGTGAGCACATTCAGGTTAGGAATTTTAAGTGAAAGGTTTGTATGAATGAAATTGAGCGCTATTCTAGAGCATTGTGCTCTGTGTTTTTGGAATGGATCGGCTTATGTTTTGATAAAATTGTTATATATTTTTTTTAAAGTACATTTATCCGTTAATATTTAAAACATTTATGTTTTATAAATATCAGATCGGCTCGATTAATATTTAGGAATATCAGTTATAGCCTATATCGTTAAATTGGCTGATCCAGTATATAAAATAGAAAAATTTTAAGACATTATCATTTTATGATTGAATTATGGAAATTAAGAAATACTATATAAATATTATTCCTTAATTGGAATAGCCTATTTGTTTTTTATTTTATTGAATGCTATTGGTTTATTTTTATATTATTTATTAGCTAAGCGTCGTTAAATGCAGATCAGCTGGACCCGCCATTTTGGTAACCCATATAGAAATTATTCTCATGTTAAAAACTACTATTAAATGGATAACTTGCTTCCTTATTATCTCGATGATCAGGCAATTCTTTAATAAAGTTTGCGTGAGACAGGAATAAATTGGCCTCTCGTTTAAAATTTTTAATAATGATGGGTAATCAAAATGGTGTCTCCAGCTGTTTTCATTGATGTACACTTTATTATATTCAATGTCAATTTGGTTTGTGGTTGACATTGTTATTTATTATTTGCAATATTAAAGTTGGTTAGAAATTTTAGTTAATATTATTTTGCAAGTGTTGGAACATGGAATCCAAAATCGAAAAATATGATTTGATCCTGAATTACAGCATGTGATAATAACCAGGCTGTTAATTTTTGACAATTTTACCGTAAATTTATATATATATATCGGATTCAGAGATCTAAATTTTAGATATGGCTGGAATTTGAAAAAAAAATTATTATTTCATTTTCAAGAGCAATCCAGATTTTCATTTTTGATTATTTAACCTAATTTTTAAAATTTTGCAAATTGTTTCTAGGCGAAATTGAAAATATAGGCATGAATATTAAACATTCAATTGTAATATTTTCCAACATTTCTCACTGCTTAATTGATATAAATTAATCCGACACGACTTTTGGGGTCTCGGGTTTGAATCTGATATTTTTTTTCGTATAAATTAAAATTTTATAACAAAAAATGCTGGAAATTAGCAAAGATTGCTTGAAATTCATTAAGTACTCTCTACATATGTTAGAATCAGGGTTGGCAAGTCAATCAATTGACCGGAGGAGTATTTAGCCTGGTCAAATACTCTAAAAAAAAATTTTTTTTAATTAAACATATGTTTAAATAAGAAAAAACGATATAAATACATGTGATCACAATGTTGCGTATTTATTGGGTCCCAATATCAAGAGGAGCATCTTACTAGTAGTGAATTCAATGAAGTATATGATATAATTCAAGAATTAGCCATTTTACAAGGTGATGACCAAAACATTTTAAGTGATATAATTAATTTCAGAATCAAAAGCATGTTTAATAGCAAATTATGTGGAAAACAGTGATTTCCATAAGAAACAATCAATTCCGACCTCAATTTAATAGATTAAACTTTGCCCACCATGCCCATTAAGAGACTAACAATTCCTAGTTCTACTTCTTTGGAAACAAATAGGTCGATTTAAGCTAATATTCTTAGGAAAATAGAAATCGAAAGATCTCGACATCTGGAAAATTGATTAAAAAATATTAAAGAAAGTGATAATATTGAATATGAAACAGAACAAGACTGCTACAGAGAGCTAAACATTAGTTATTGAATGACAATGAATTTAAAAAATTAATATTATAGATTCATTTTATTATTATATTCAAAATAAAGTTAATATTGATTAAAAAAACATATATTTGAATTTGACCATATTTGATCGGTCAAATATGCACAACTCTGGTTAGAATACATTTTGGGCCAAATTAGATTTTTAAAATCGTTCTTGATAAATAATTTAAAATTGAGGGATATTCCAATGAGACACATAACACTATCCAAGGTCAAATGGTTCGAAAAAAAATTTTACCAATATTGAATAAAATTTTTTTAGCTTAATTAGAAAAATTAATTTTGCGAATCAAAAAGTAAAATCATAATATACAAATTAGGTTGCTTTTTTGTTAAAATGGAGTAACATTTCCCCTTGCGAAAACTGCTTGAATTTTGGGGGTAGATATTGAATGAAAGTGTCGTATTAATATTTTTTTGAGAAATGCCATAAATCATTTTTAATAATTCCCCAAATATTATCTATTGGATTTAAGTCAAGAGTATATGCAAGTCATTACCATTACTGTAATAATCGTTTTCTTGTTAGAGAATAAATTCCCCATATGGAGGCTACCATATTTTGAGTGATTTAATAATAGATTCTAATAAATCCCATATCCTTGAGCTTGATGGGAAAGTCTTATTCATAATAACTAAATCTCGCTTTTGTGTTCTTTTACCCATATTACTTTAGGATTGTTGAAACAATAGAATTCCACTAAGTGGTTATTTCATTTAAACTTGAATGCCTACATTCATCCTCTAAGTCCATCACGAAAATATAATTTTTTAGTTTTAACTAAATATCTTCCCTTTTTGCATGTAGAATCGTTTGCTTTAGGATTCAGATTTTATTTTTTTTATAATGTCCAGAATCAAAAGTAATTAATAATCGAAAAAATTTCCCATTGGAAATTTCTTTATCATGTTCTTTCAGAATAAACCTTTTTTGATTTATAGAAGTAGGAATTATATCCATTATCCAATAAAAATTTTAAAAACTAAATATCCTTTATATAATAAAAGCTGCCACATTTTGTGAAAAAATGCACCAATACCAGGAGTTGGAATCGAAATCGCGAATAACACAATATTTGAACATATGTCGCAGCACCTTACCACCATCCCCCACGAGTAATGCTGCAAAATCGCTTTACTCAAGCCGACTCTAAAACGGCTTAGCCAAGTTTAAAGCAGAAAAAATCGACCAACCTGTGAGCGCAAGCCGAAAAATAAGGCTCAACCATGGAGCGCGAGTCAAAAAAATCGGCTAAACCTTGGATTTCAAGCCTAAAAAATAGGCTTACCTTGGAGCTCAAGCAGAAAAATTCAGCTCAGCCATCTCGAAATCTATGTATTGCTCAAAATTGAAACTTAATAAATCCCGAACGAAATTTTTTTTATTTGTCCCGAAAATAATTCCAATATGTGTTAAAATAAAATATTACTTTGTTTTCCCCCTTTATTGTATAATGACACTCATTTCACTGTAATATGAGGACGGTAATTTTATTTCATTTCATCCTTTTCAACTTAAAATTATCAATGTTAGAAGATGTCAACAATTCAAGGAGATCATCATTATGTCTTTAAATAATATAATTTTTATACATGATAATTATAAAATTATGAAATCGATTTTGGATTTATAATGAGTTTTCTATTAAATAAATATTAAAAATTATGCCGAAATATTAAAAAAAAATTATGTTATAAAAATTTATATCTGAGCCGATTTTGTTGACGGCGGCTAAAAATCGGCGTGCCGCCGGCCGTCGATTAGATTTTTGAAAATTGCGCAGGCCGCCGATAGTTTCGTCGGCGCACAGGTCTAAGGATAGGTATTATTTTCCATAGGAATTTTAAACAAAACAGAAAAATATAATAAATTTATAAAAACGCAAAATTATGCTTACCATAGAAATTTAAAATAGAAACACTATACCATCCTTATTTTTCAACAGTCAAATATAATATAAAAGTATAATTATCTATTAAATTCCAATTTTGAGTGATAATACATAAATTTCGAGTTCAAGCCTGAGCCAGTTTTTTCGGCTCGCGCTCGAAGGCTGAGTCGATTTTTTCGACTTGGGCTCTAAGGTTGAAGAGATTTTTTCTGTTTGCGCTCAAAGGTTGAGCCGATTTTTTAGCCTTGCGCTGCTTGAGCCGATTTTTCCGGCTCGCACTCCAAGTTCGGCCGATTTAAGGCTGAGCCGGCTTAAGCGGAGCGATTTTGCATCACTACTCACGAGTTCTTATGAATGACGCATTTTTTTCTATTTATTTCAGAGACCTGCAGGGCCCGGCCAGGCCCCGGGTAGTATTTTAATTTTTTTAAATTTACCCGGGCCTGGCCGTGCCTGAAAATTTTTTTAAAAAGATATCCGGGCCGGGCCGCATATTAAATCGCCATTATTGGCTCTAAAAAACAAAAATAAATAAAATATATTTTAAAAAAATCCGGGCCGAGCCTGAAAATTTTTTTAAAAAAAACCCCGGACAGGGTCGGAAAAATTTTTTTAAAAAAATCCGGGGGCCTTACAAATGGTACCTCTGCCGGTCTGATTTATTTTCATTTCTAAAAATAATTTTAAAAGTTGAGTAGTCTGTTGTATCCACAACTAGAAAACGAAACGTTTTAATCACGTGATTAATATTATGTTATGTATTTTAGTAGATGAATAAGAAATCTTTAAATTTTAAATCAATATTTTAAATGCATTATGATTTTTTTCAAACTTTATTAGTTTACAACTACCATGAATATTACTAATGTTTTTAAATCATTAAATTTTTATTGCTGAAAAACGATCTGATGAAAAATTTAATCACAAAAGTCGCGTTTTATTGCTTTCTCTACAATATCCAGATTTTTTAAAAGATTTATCAAATTTAGACAAGATATCATCTAAAGATGTTGAGTATAATTCTTGCCTATTGAAAATTGAATCCTGTTTAAGCATTCTAAACTCATGTTTTTCAGAGTTAAAAATTACTATTATATCTACTTATAATATATTTTATACACTGTTTGATTTCATCGTGAAAGATTTTTTATACATATATTGATTATATAAGATTTTTAACAAAAATGATTTTGGAATTATAAATAAAATTTGATCATAAATTCAGTTTAAGCATTCTCAACTTCATTTTCAGATATCATAATCTTTGATGATTTTATATTTGAGCAAAATGAATAGAAATCAGAGTTATGATTGAACAGTAGGTATTCTAGTAAAGTCCAAACAGGTATCAAAAAAATTAATGTTACACTCTACCTTTTTTAAACATACTTTTGTATGATGATAGAGTGTATACCCTGGCTGCAAAATGTTTTCCTAATAAATTATATATTAGAAATAAACCTTCAATGAATGGTAATATTTCATCCCAAACAAAATTTATATATTATCTCCAAATATAGATAATAGATTTGAAAAAAGTGTATTGGGAAAATAAGCAAGTATATAGGAAATATGAAAATATCCATAAAATAATCTTTTATAAAGGTATTATACATTTTAATAAATTTTAATAAATTTTAATTCAGAAAAGTAGGTCTAAGATTATTGGCAATAAATTCCTAATGCTTAAAAATCCTGCATCATTCTCAGTTTTTGAAATATTTGATACCTGCCTTTTTGGTAAAATTTTTATATTTCTTCTCTTTTTATATGACTACAAATGTGAGTGTAGTATTAATGCTTATTATAAGATAAGAAATTTTCTGATTCTTCCGGAATTTAATAAGGGATAAATTTCAGATTCACTCATCATACTTGACAGGCTTTCTGCTCGCTAATATAAAATATAGACAGCATATACTTATTAGAGACAACGTTAAAAACTATTTTAATTTTTACTTTCATCAAAAATTTAATATAAAATTTTCTAAAATTGTTGGGTCAATTATAATGTTCTAGATCCATTTTTTCCAATTGTTTAGAAGGATGTTTTAAAAATGTACATAGTCCATTTTTAACAAATAAAGAAGTAGAAATTTTTTATTTACCTGATACATAAGGTGTAGAATGATATCTAAGCAACAGCTTACCTGAAATAATATTCTCAGAAAACTTCATTTTATACCTTTGAAAAAATAAAAAAAAAATTAATTTCATCTTCAATAAATAAGTTGAAAATGTTCTGTATCCATAAAACGTATTATAAAAAGTAATTAATAATGTAATATTTTCCAAAATAAATAATATAATATTAATATAAAAAAATCTTAATTATTTTGTCAAATTCTTATTTTGGATATGAATCAATATAACAATAAAGGGTAAATTTATTGAAAAATCCATTCTACCATAGAAAATTAAAATAACGACCCAACAATGTCTATTTTTTAAATTTTTGACTTGCAAAAAAGTTGGAAATCATTTGATTTGGGTGGTATATTGTGATAAGTTCAGAATAATTAAATTGAGAGAAATCTATTTAACTTTGGGGAATATATTGAGTTCAAGTTCATAATAATTAGGAAAGGGTTGAAAGTATGAAGATTGTGTTGCGAATGTTAATCAGTTTTGGGTAATTTTATTTAAAAATATATTAATGATTAAAATTTGTTGATTAATGTAAAGTTATAGATATTTGTTGTATCGGCTTTAAAGCAATAGATATATTATATGATAGATTAAAATTATGTATATATTGTGTCATAATAATAAAAAAAATATCTTAAGTGATGAACATTGTTTCTATAAATCACAACAATCACTTTGTAATACTGTATTGTTAAAAGTTGATAATTATTGAATAACATTTGTATTAGCTCTATTAAAATGAACAAATGATTAAAGTGATTATTTCCTTTGACCAAGAGAAAGTAAAATTTAAATTAGTAAAAAAAAGAAATACCATTAAGTTGAGCATCGGCATTAGATAATTTCTCCAATTCACTCACTACAATTAAAGGTATCAGGATTGTATATTTATTCTCGAGAATCAAACAATTATCTGTACCATCTATTAAATATATTTTTAAAGAAGAAAAAAATAAATATATTATTTACCAAGGTTATTCTGTTTGAAGATCAATATAGATTTCAAAGCTTCAATGTGATCAATCATGCAGTTTGTGTCGCATACTAAATATTTGGGTTTAATTTCAAATATTGTGTGTTTTGAACCAGAAATTTTAAGTTTTTCAATGATCTGATCTAGGATATTCTTTTTAGTATTTTTATCATTAAGATTCATTGCCAAATTACTTTGGACCTAAAAAAGAGAAAGATTAAACATATTATCCTTAGTGTTTACAGAATTTTCATATAGTATATTAGTTGAAATTGAGCCTTGGTGCTTTGTTGATGACAAATCTTTGAAACATACATACTGGCCTTTATTGTCAACTTTCATAAATGGTGGGTTTAATTTCAGCAATATTTTGGTATAATCAATAATCTATGTATAAAAAAATAAAGCATGATTTAGTGATAAACAATTTACCTTCTTCACTCTAAAAGTTGTATCAGAATCTGATAAGGTTTCAATATTTGGGTGTGATTTATTGATCCTATTAGGATTTTTCATATATTCCAAGGGTGGAAAACCTCTAAACAAAACTTCCTCTAGATTAGGTGCTATAATGCATAACTCTTTATTATTGTTATTGATATCTTTATAATTTTGGTGCAAATTTAATAATTGAGCTAGGTTTAATAGAAAGTCCTTATCATATTGAATTATAGAATTGGGTAATGGATTCCAACAGGTGTTATAGGCCATCCAACCTATCCAGACTGTTATATAAGGTAGTAAGTATTTATCAGATGATGCCTCTAATGTATGATTATGTTGTATTTTTATGTTTGAATTGCAGCCATTACCTTGTAAATAAACCTTGCACACCTTTGCAAACATGGTAAAAGATATGAGTAAACATTTTTCTTGTATAAGAGACATGTTAGAATTTCCCTTCATTTGATGACTATGATGGGTAGCCAAATTAAAGTATTTATCTACAGTGAAAAGATTTATAGCTAATATTTGTAGCAAGTGTAGAGGATTTGAAAAAAAACTTGGTTTGATTATAATTTTATCTCCTGATTCAGGGTAGTCTAATGATTGAGAATTTTTTGGGTCAATAGTATATATCATAAGAATTTCAAAATAGCTCAACATACATGATAAGATGGTGTCAAATTCATCCAAATCTGTTTGGTTGTATATTTTTCCATGTAAAGTTATGAATAAGATGATAAAATATTTTAGGGACAAATTCAAAATGTCTTTATTTTGATTTAAGGAAGTTTTAGGGCCAATACTTTCTGTGACCTTATGCAGAGGTGATAACATCTGACTTTGTAAATAGACAGCACGGGTGAGGTACTTAAGGTAATATTTGTCATCAGGCATTTCATCAAAATTACACCCAAAATAGTTGATCCAAATTTCAGTTTTGTTTTTTGTTAGAAGAGTGTCAATCATGTCAACATTTTTTTCTATTGTATTATTACCCAGAGATCTTAATTTTTCAAGTTTAAAATATGGTTGTATATTAAATGAATTGTATTTTTGCCTGGCATCTTCAAAGAGAGCTAGAAGACTATGATGTGATGTATCGGAATCTTGAGAAATCAAGATATGAGAACGAATAAAATAATAGAGAGTATCAAATGGCATATTCATTTTATGTGAAAGAATGCCTAATTGATTATAAGCATGACTATTCTCTGGTTGTAATTGTATGGCACAATTATAGCAACTAAATGCAGTATTAACTGTATTGATGTCAAAAGATTTATGATACATCATTGTCGATGTAACTGATTTGTTATACATGGATTCCAGATATCTGGCCAAATCTCCTTGTGAAATGCAAAACCAATAGAATATTTGCAGGTATAAATTTTCCAATTTTGGATTAAGTATTGAATTATGGTTTAGCAAGTTAATGATACCTTTAACATTTTCACCATGAATTTTTTTTAACATAAATGATGTATTGCTTTGATCTATTTCATCTTTAAATGTGTTATAGATATAATCTTTATATTGGAATTTATATTTGTTAATGAAAGTTTCCATAATTTTTTTATAGAAATGAATATTTTTGTAAATAAATATCTCTTTAAGTTGAATAAGTTTAAGGGCCATTTTATCGACTATATCTTTATGAGTAGAGATATCATTTAATTTTATACCATCAAATGTTTTAAGAAAATCTTCATATTTAATTAAAACATTATGACATATATATTTCCAATAAATTCTTTCACAAAAGTATTTTTGATAAATGTTGATATCCTGTGTTAATATTTCAATAAGTAAAAATTGTGCTGGTTTCATACATTCAATTTCAAATTCATGTAGGAAATGAGAAATAAATTCCAGTTTGTCATCTTTGGATTTTGAATAGTTTAAACTTATTGATTTATATTTTTTTATTGTAACACATTTTGCTATGTAAATAAACTTATTTAATTTATACATTGAACTATTCAAATTGTTAATTGGATCATCGTAATTATTATTCTTTTTGAAAATTGATATTGATGGCAATACTGGATTTTCCTCTCTTCTTTTCTTGTTTTTTAAAATACTAATAACCCCATTATCCTTAATACCAATTGGGGCTCTTTTACTAGGATCAAAAATATAATCGTCAATGGATATATCCAAATTTTCTTTATTATTGTTATGATGCATCTTAATATTAGTGATGCACTTAAGTCCAACTTGGCTTTATCGATCTTACATCAGAGATTACACATGGACATCGATATATACGACATATGAAAATTTTCTTTTAATGATATGTACATAAAATATTATATCTTTTCTCTTCTTCTTTTCCTTCACTATTTCCATTACCTTCACCCTTTTGTAACAAGGTTTTCTTAATTTCTATATATATATATATATATATTATAATAAATAACAAAGAATTATAAAAAATTCTTACTTTTCAATTCTTGCTCGAGAACAATGGCATTAATATTATAGATTAATCTCGAGAATGATTTAAATGAGTGAATGACTGGCTTAATATCGGAGATTTGCCTAAAGATAGTTAGTCATTTGATCGTAAATTCGTTCGATTTTCTGATTGGCTTATCTAATAGCTAAATTAATATTATATTTTAAATATTGCTAAAAAATCATTTTGAATATGATATATTATATAAATATATAAATCGAATTATTACCTGTTCATATTAATAATGATGTCGTCCATTTTGATCTTAGGACGAAGATACGATTAAAATCTTACTATAAAAGAAGGCTGCATTCTTAGTTGAGTCGGATCCGTTTTTTACATCCATTCCATCAAAAGTCAATCTGATTAAAAATGATATAAATGTTCATAGTACGTCCGTTCCGATGCTTTCCATCTTAAAAACGGATCCGGCAAATTTTAAAGTCAAAATAATTTGACTTTTTGATCCGACAAATGTTTAAAGATCGTAACGACATATAACATTTACTAAAATTTTTATACCAAACAAGGTGGATGCTCAGAAAATAAATTTAATGTATTTAATCGATAGTGTAAAAGAATGTAAATATATATTATAAAATGTAGGATGATTATAAAAGATTCAAACAAGAAAAACTATTTTGTGGTAATCTAGCTTTGCAGTTTGGTCAACCAGATATTAAAACTTCATAATATAATACATGATATCCATAAGTGCTCCTATTTATAATAAATTTAATTCAAATTTTTAATTTAAATAAGTGAGAATAGTCTATCATATTTTACTATTCCATTTGTCTCCTCTTTTTCTATCTTCAAGCCCTTAATAAAAATAACTAAATAGGAATTTTTTTAATTATAATTTTATAGTATCCTAAAAATATTAATACTATCTGTTGTTATATTGTATTAATACTATATTATCTCATGTAGATATTTAGATAAAAAGAAAATTAAGCGTATTATTTTTTTCTAAAATTTGGTTATTACAATGATGATCAATATCTTTCAATAATTATTTATGGATCAAACTTAATTTTTTAATTAAATTGAGCACTTTCAATAATTGGACAAACAATATGATAATTTATTTACCTCTATTTTATATTTTTTAGGTGATGATTTAAATACAAGATGCAATAAGCTAAGAGATTATCTGAATAAAGAATATAAAAAACACTGGATAATCCTAATGGTTCAGCAAGCCACCATATATACCTGCATAAAAATATAATCAATAATTTTTTTTTTAAACATTAACACCCAGTCAACAAGAATCCTCACCATATCAAATTCAATTCCATTATGTGATATAACTTTAGATAAAAATATAGGTATAGATAAAAATATACATACAACCATAAATAAAAAATAATTTTAAAGAAATATTATTGGAAAAAATAGTAACTATTGAGGAAAATAAGAAAGAGGTATCATGTTTTGCTAAATTCTTATATGATGAATTATCATCTCTACCCTCAGTCCACATAAATGTTAATTGTACAATAATTTTTTTGTATTCCAATTAAAAAAATAATATATTTATTCTTTATATATTCTTATTTATAAATAAATATATTATCATTGTTAAACATATTATAAATTTTATATTACAAAACATTGAATAAATAAATTTTAGTTTAAAAAATATAATTTTGCTTTTGCATAATATCAATATTTTTATAATAATTACAAAACGAATTTCTAATGTTTTTATTCTGATCAGTGTATTTTTGATAATCTGTTGGTTCCATAAAGGAAGATCTGAATCCCCAAGTTCAAGATTTGTTATATTTACTTTTTCTTTGGTAAATGATATAATGTAAAATACAACAGGCTTTAATTATGTTATCAAAAATAGGTAAACTAACCTCTACCTTATTTAAAATAATTCAAATATTAACGATTATGGCCACTTGTATGGTATGCCTTTATTGAAATTTTAATTTAAGATGTTAATAATATAAATTTTAATCATGATTTCAAGTAAAAATCCCCTTATTTACAATGAACGCAATATATATTGTTTGTCATGAATACGAGTTTGTTGAGAATGTTTAACTAAGGTCTATAATAAAAGTATTAATTTTTACAGAAATATATTTTGGTTATTTCATTAGATATTTAATAGATAGGCCCCCTACCCAATATATTATTCCTACCCTCTTAAAAGCGACCCCCCCCCACCCCCAACAAAAAAATAGATGCAAACTTTTCCTACACCTCCCCCTCTTAGATAGACGCTAAAGACAATATTCACTTTTTATGGCACATCCTTATTGATAATTTTATATATATATTTTTACCCAGCTGCTTCAAAAAATTCAAAAAAGTTAAAAAATAACGATTATGACAATAATAATTTTTCTATGGTGCATCTTTATTCAAATTTTTATTTAAAATTTTTTTAATAATATAAATTTTTACCCATTAGTGCCAAAAAAATAAATAAGTTGAAAAAATAATTATGACAATTGTCACTTTTTGATGGTACATCTTCCTTTAATTTTAATTTTACATGATTACTAACCCATTTATTTCAAAAAAAACTTTTTAAAGCATTAATTTACTAAAACATCGATCTTTAAAGATCGTTGATTTAAAATAGTTTTAAATAAAAAATCTAGTATTTCAAGATAGTTGCTCAAAATTTTTTTTAAATAAAAAATCTTCAAATTTTTTTAAAAATTAGATTGCAAATGTTATCGTTGCACAAATTTTTTAAATAAAAGATATTCAAATTTTGATATTAAAAGGGAATTAAAATAAACAACATACATAGGTTGCAAAATCAATAATAATTGATCATACTTTTTACATATCGATTATATTTTTACTTGCTGTCAAATGTTTATATAGGCAGAGTTTAAATTACAAAATATTCACTAGAGGCAAACCTTACTAAAAAAAACTTATATCTCCCTTCCTAAAAAATCGTACTCACACGTTATTAATTATAAGTTTTTATTTATAATAGTAATAAGTTTATATTTTTTGGTAACTCACTGAATCATGGGGAAATTTTTAATATTTTTTTTTTTTATTTTTTTTTTCATAATATTTTTTTTAAATATTAAAAAACAAATTTTTTTTTAAAAAAATAATAAATATAAGATCGTTTGGATATTTTTGGTGTAATTTTACAATAAAAACGGATTATATTTAAAAATTTAAAACAGTGTATTTAAAAATTTTAACAAACGGAGTTTATTTAAGAATTTAAAAATACGGAGTATTTTATTTGTGAGAATTTTCATAATTCTTACAATTTACTATTAAATCAAATACTAGATAATTAATCAATTTATTTGAATAAACATAATATATATACAATGATAATATAGATATATATTTTTAAGGAAAAACAAAAATATATTATATATAAATTTATATAATTTAAAATTTTAATTAATTTATTTATATTAGACATATTTTTAGTATTACGAAAATAGGAATATTCACGTATAATTTATAAATGAGAGGAAGATTTTCTTCCATTTCTATAATCTAAAATTACGCCAATTGAACCAAAAAGGTAAGCAAAATTCTTAAAACTTTTAAATAGTGAAACTTTGAATTATTATTACACCGAAAAATTTAATTTTTACCAAAATCCAGACGATATTTATTATTTTTTTATAAAAAAAAATATTAAAAAATATTAAAAATTTCCCCGTGATTCTGTGAGTTACCTATATTTAAATAATCAATATTCTACCATAAACTCTCGAAAAATTGTGAATAGACTATTTCTTTAAATTAAAACACTTCCCATAGTTAAGATTAATGTATTATTATAGAAAAATTGTGAATAGACTATTTCTTTAAATTAAAACACTTCCCATAGTTAAGTTTAATGTATTATTATAGTATATTGCTTCGCATAAATATGAATTTGCTGATAGAATGTTTAACCCTTCTAAAAATATAGCAAAAAATAATAAGCTTTACTTGAAAATTTTTTTTAACACGCACCCTTTCTGTTGTAACATAATTGGCAAAATAATTTTTACAAATAATTATATCAATATATCGTACAAAATTAAAAAAGATTTTAATGTTTATTAGTCTACCCACAGGATTTCACATTATTCATGGTCTACAGTCATTGCATCATTGTTATCTCTATGCTCACGATAGTGTTTAGTTAATTTGATAGAAGATACCTTTAGTCTAGTCTACCATAATTATCCACTAAGTTTTCTATATTCAGGCATTAGCTTATTTCCCAGAGGCATTGTTGAACATCATAATCCAACCATATTAACTGTCACCCCTGCGGTATTTCATAAAATTGTGCTTGAATATCTCTCATTTATAATGGCTTAATAATTTCCCGAATCACTTCTCCCAGTTATATTATGTACCATTAAATATTCTTTATACCTTTTTTAGACATTGAAAATTATTTTATCCCGCATCACTTTACTCCGAATAAATTATATATTATCTGATATATGTCATTAGACTATGACTAATTTTTCTTACGACACCTTGACCAGAATTAAGTTCTCTATAAGTATAAATATAAAATATATACAATCCACATATTCTAAATATATCCTTAATATCAAAATTTTACACTCGCGAGTCGCGATTATAATTATATTTTATTATTGCGCATTGTGCTTCAATTCTTTTTTCTTTCTTTCTCTAAAAAGCAAAATATAAGGATGAACTTGTTAAAAATATTTTTTAATTATTTTGATAATTAGAGCTATCTTAGGATATTTTTATTAGTTGTGAGGGTGAAGCTTTTGAGCCCCCCCCCTCCTTCGATCGAAATTTTGTACTTCTCTGAAATATCCTTCTCTCATCCCTCTCTTCCCAAAAAACTTATACATAATATCACTGTAAGGAAGAATTTGAAAAAATATTAGTAAAAGTAACTAAATTTTTTAAATAACGACTATAATTCTAATTTTTTAGAAAAAAAAGCATTTTAATAATTTTAAAAAAAAGTGAAACCCTATGAATATTTTTATGGAAAGCTAAAATAGCCAACAGCCTACTGTTACATGTTAGTAACTATATATTATTTTTAACGATATATTCGTATTGTATTAATATACTTCTT